CTCCTGACAACTGTCAACACGATCTTTTTTTTTTTTTTAAGATTTTATTTATTTGACAGAAAGAGAGAGTGCGCACACAGCAGGGGGAGCAGCGCAGAGGGAGAAGCAGGCTCCCCACTGAGCAGGGATCCTCATGCGGGGCTTGCCGGGACCATGACCTGAGCCAAACGCAGATGCCCAACTGACTGAGCCACCCAGGAGCCCCTCCACATGATCCTTCCAACATCCAAGCGGAGTTTGTCATTCCATCTGCTCACCTCCCATGCTCACCAACATTCACTGTCTCTCACACACAGGAAAGGACAAACTTCTGCCTGGGGCACATAACTACCTGACCCCTCCCTTCCCGGCTCACAAGCCCTCATTCACCTACTGCCCCAGTGAGCTGGCTCCCACATATCATCCCATTTTATGGGTCCCCTGTGCCCATTCCTCTGAGCCAATGTACTGATGGGTATTAAAGAGGGCATGTACTGAATGGAGCACTGGGTGTTATTCGCAAACAATGAATCATGGAACACTACATCAAAAACTAATGATGAAATGTATGGTGACTAACATAACATAACAATAAAAAAAAAGAATACCTGACACATATGTGTTCAAAGAAAATCTACCATCTATAGATTTATGTAGATATAGAGCAGTACACAGTTTGACTTGAAATGTGTCTACCTTCAATCTATACATATCTTCAATCTATAGATATATTTTTAAATCAAACTGTGTCATCATTGCAAGCCAACCTGACTTGTCATATATATATACAAACATATGTAAAAATGTCATATATATATACATATATATACACACACACATCACAGTTTCTTTTTTTTTTTGACAGACATCCATGCTAGCTTATTTTATTTTTTTTATTTAAATTCAATTAGCCAACATATATAACATTAGTATCAGATGTAGAGTTCAGTAATTCATCAATTGCATATTAACACCCAGTGCTCATCACATCACGTGCCCTCCTTAATGCCCATCACCCAGTTACCTCATCCCCCCACCCCCCTCCCCTCCAGCAACCCTCAGTTTCTTTCCCATAGTCAAGAGTCTCTCATGGTTTGTCTCCCTGATTTCTTCCCATTCAGTTTTTCCCTCCCTTCCCCTATGATCCTCTGTGCTGTTTCTTATATTCCTCATATGAGCAAAACCATATATATCACAGTTTCTTTATCCATTAGTCTATCAATAGACACTTAGGTTGTTTCCATGTCTTGGCTATTGTAAATAATGCTGCTGTGAACATGTGGTGAGTATATCTTTTCAAGTTAGTGCTTTCATTTTCTGCAGGTAAACACCCAAAAGTTGGATTGCTGGATCATATGGTAGTTCTACTTTTAGTTTTTTGAGGAAACTCCATACTGTTTTCCACAGTGGCTGCACCAATTTACATGGTATAATAAATAACTTTTGATGTACATTTTAAAAGACTTGATAAGACCAAAGCTACATGCAGCTGCCACATACTGTATGGCAACTAGAATTTTCTTTAATTGGGGAGTGGAGGTAGGGGCAAAAAAGCCTGCTGAGTGGGAATAAAATAAAAGAGAGATACTACAAACTAACCACTTCTCTCTTAAAAGTGGGAAGAGATAAGGTTCATAATCCTGTTTCAAAATCATATAGAAGTTAAATAGAAAAAATACAAACAAAAAATACAAAATCCTTAATATGACTCTCAGTAGCCCTGTGAGGACCTTTCCGGCCTAGCCTAGTTTAGTGTCCTCCTAAATGATCCTGTTGATCCAGTCTCTCTTCATTCCAATTCATCCTCCTCAATCCTATCACGATTACTTCCTAAAACCCAAATCTGGTCGTAGAGCCCTATGCTTAAAGGTCATGTTTAAGATAAAATACTCAGCAAGGCCCTTATTCTCATAAGGCTCTTGTCAGTCTGATTCAAACCCACTTCTTTAAACCTGTGGGCTCCCTTCTCTCACTCACTCTGTGCTCTAACTTGATTCCAACTCTGGCATCATCCGAGGCCTTTTATAGCTCAGAATCTCTACTGTTCCCCTGCCCGGAATGCCCATTTTGTCCTTCTTTATCACAAACTCCTACTTGTGCTCACTTTGGCAGCACATATACTATCACAAACTCCTACTCATTCTCTAAGGCCCAATGAAGAGTCCTCTCCATGAGGAAGTATTCCCTAAGTCCCCTAGGCAGTTAGCCATCCCTCCCTTGTTAGCCAAAGATAAATTTAAATCACTTACTGTACTGCATTGAAATGAGCAGTTTACCTACTCAGGCCCCTCCTCGAGTCCCAGGACTTCCTCCTCCTCTCCCCCACTCTGAGTATCTCTAAGGCAGGATTATCTCTGAATCCCCAGTGCCTAGTATCTACCAAGTATCCAATAAATATTTATTCAATAAAAAAATGAATAAATGAGTGAGTGAATGAATGACTACCTTGATGGCAACCTGAATAGCTAAAATCTAAGAAGTTTGATGACTAGGATTTGTGACAATCGAAGGAAGAAGAAAGAGATAAAAGGATGGATGTGATTTCATAAAGTGATAAAAGATATACATATATATTACTTAAGGACTACAAATGGCCATGAATAATAAATACAAATATTATTTATGGGTACAAAGGTAAGTGCATTATTTGCCCTAGAGGCTGGAACTATTCTTTCTAAGCCATTACTATCCTGATGGGTCAAAACGTTTTTTGGCACATAGAGTAAGTTATAAAATGTGAACTACGCATCTGTCAAACAGTAACAAAGAACAGTTTAACCTAGAGTAAGTGGTATCAACTCCTACTGTGCCTCTATAATCCATTTATCTAAATCCTACTTAGTTGGAGGATTACAGTTCTCATATATCTAAATAGCTCTAAAGTTTAGCCAAATGGTTCATATATATATCGTAAACCAGGCTGTACAAATCAGCTATCTGGTTTCACAAAAGAAAGTAAAAGTTTCGTGTGACACATACATTTTCCTAGAAAGAAAAGGATACAAAGGAAGGAAATTAGGATCATGCCAAACAAGCAATTAAAAAGTGTCCAAAGACAGATTTTTTTTTCTGAGTCCCCAAAAGAAGAACTGGCCAAACATTCTAAAGGAAGCAGCCAAAAGAACCACTAAAAACAAACCTAAACTCTCAACGGAGACTTCAGAGTAACAGGGAAAAGTTTTATGGAAATGTACGCCAGATCCTCAAATATCTACATAAAAAAAAGAACACTAGAATAGTAACTTTTAAGAATTGGTGGTGGTACAAGTGGTTAAATGTACCACAAAATAATTAAAATACAAATTACAAAGAACATTCTTACCATAAGTTCTCAAGTAAGAACAGAAATAGGAATTTAACTAATAACCCCACAAAATAACTAGAATTTATTTACTGAAATAAATATACTTATTTGAAATAACTATAAACATCCCTTAGGTTTTGGGAAAACTCTTGCTAATCTTTGACCTAACAGTTGGTATATATCAGTGAGGACTAGGAGTAGATGAAACAAACAGTATTCATTGAGGCTTAAAGAAATTAGAAATGAGAAACCTAACTGAACCAGAGTCACAAATATGTGAAACCTGCCTCCCCTAGTCTTATGAAATAGAGGATATTTCTTTGTGGAAAAGTAAGATCGTGCTCTCAATTCACAATGGTGTACCAAATTATATTTGTCATAATAATGTATGTTTATGACCTATGCTAATCATAACCGAACTCAGGCTTAAATATTCTGACAAAATCACCTACCTACCCTTAGCAGAAGAAAGAAGGCTGCCTGATGATAGTTGTTCCTAGTTTACACTTCACTGATGCCATTATTACATTTGAACATATTGTTAGTGACAGACTGCAAACTAGCCACTTAATTCTTAATTTGTTAACTCCATTAGCCAAAAGGTGAGCCCAACTTCTAGCATCACCTACATAATTCAAATTTATCTGAAATGTGTACAATAATCATATCTACATAGTTTTATAATAAGGAAAAAGCCTAAAAACTGCAAGTGATAGCAAATGAAACATAAATTTCCAAACAACGCTGATAAGTAAACAATTCCATGGGAAAGCTTATATTCAGTGATATTGGACTTCTATGCCTTTTTTCTCCTTAAGTGTCCTTTCTGGAAATGAATACTATTTCTGTATTACCTTTACTTTATGATATTCAACTTCTGACCTGCTTTTCCTAGAAAAAAGCAAAACTAAGAAAGCTTGCATTCTTTAAATTTCAATATTTTACGGCTTTATCTGTTCAAATACTGAGCTTAAAATTATGTGGGCTATGAGTAAGAGATGTATTAATTAGCAAGTAAAGTTGCAAAATGTATCTTATTGTTTCCAAATTAATGGTTAGAGCATGGACTCCACCATTATGCCCAGGCTCAAATCCCACATCTGCCACTTACCAGATCTGTGACCTTGACCAAGTTACTTAACCTCTCTGTCCTCAGTTTTCCAAACAGTAAAATAAATAGAGCTAATAACAGTACCTCCCTCACAGAGTTGTAATTAGACCAGTTAATGTCACCAAAGTGCTTAGAACAGGAATCTCTATAGAGGTGTTTGCTGTTGTTACTTAAATCTGTGAAAGAAGCTGAGAAAGGTGTCATACAGATTTCATTTTATCTAAAGTTTTCTTTTAAAAATATTTGAAAGAATAAAATTCCTTTTCCTCCCTTCAGAACTCTCACAGCCCTAATGATCTTAACTTTTCTAGAAATTCTACAATAACTTGGATGATAAGTATTTCCTAAAATGAAAAGCCACAGAGATTTTCATCTCTTTCGTAATTCAATAAAACACAATTGTGTTAACTTTGAAGGCATTCTGGAATTTGGAGCATTTGGCAAAGAGTGAAATAGAATTATAAATTAGTCTCAGACTGTAATTATTAAAATTCTCAGTTACTCTTTCTCCCATTGTCTTCAGTTTACTTTGTTACTAAAATGGGGGTATAAAATGGCCCCTAAAACCCTCCAACAGAAGTTGATATGACTTAATACCAATACTACCTTTATCACTTCCATAATAATAGAATACTGTTTTACTAAGAGCACACCAGCGTTTCTGCCATTCAAATCCCAGGAAGCTGTGATCTACAATAAAGGGGGAAAAGGAACAGTTTAGATAATATACATTACACATACAGCATAAATGTAATGCCATTTCCTTATTATAAAGGAAACGTTTGTTGACATGATTTCTAAGATTTCTGTTAGCTCCAAAATTCTATGACTAATTAACCTGTATCTTCTTCTCCAAGAGACAAACAAAAACAAAGCTAAAAGGAATAAAGTGATAAGGACACAGGACTGCTACACTTGGCGGCTAACACAGCTTTCTGACAGGACGGTCCAAAGGGCACGGGACGACATAGCTTTGAGACAACGGATTCATCTGGGTCCCATTTTCTTATCTGTTATAAAAAGGCGGGGAGGTTGGGGGGACACGGGGAGTTGACCTAGATTACTTCTATTATCTCTTTCAGCTTTAAAATTCAGCTAAGAAAACCAAGGAAAGCAAATGGAATATAAATAGAAAGGCCCAAAGGGACTACCTGTGAGAAAAGCAAAATGGTAATGAAGATACTTTCTGCTTTCTGTTTCCCATATAATAACACCACCTCCACATTTAATTTCCATTATATATTGGTGCTGAAAGAGTGAGGCCATATGGTCAACTCCCGATTATCATAGCCAACGGAGAGGAACACTGAATGGATAACAGAAATGGCAGACAATACGGCAGGCTTGATCTGAACCACAGCAGACATGGTGTGCGCCAGGTCAGGTGCAGGATAACCTGCCGCTCAGCTGGGTGGCAGAAGGGTGAGAAATCCCATCCTTGAGAATACTGTCATGGCCCGCAGCCTTCCTCTAAGAGGCAGGAAACAGCTCCTGAATCATTTACAAATAACCAAGATTGGCAACTAAAAACCTGACCAAATGTTTCGTTATCAAAAATTATTTAGAGCTAAAAACTATATTTTGTGGTTGGGATGATGTTACCAGATTTTCCTACAGTTTTAAAACTCTTCAATCCCCTAAAGAGAATACTGGCTCCATATGTATACTGCACACATGTTTTACGTAAGGGTAAAGCCATTTTTAGATTTTTCATTAGAATCTTACAGTTTACCTTTTCTGCGTTTTTCAAGGTAGCCAGCCTTTAAAACAAAAGGAAGGTCCTGTGCTGCAATTGGAGGAAACTGGTTTCCTGTGGGAAGTAGAGGAGGGAAAAAAAGTAGTGAGCAATCCATCTTAGAAAAACCAAATACCAGATCTCATTAGGTTCAGTGTAGTTGCAGTTACCCAAATTAATTAAATTCAAGTCTATTAGCTTTGTTTCAGATCCATTCCATAAACTTGTCTCTCTCCTGGAAATCTCAAGAGAAAAAAAGTGTTCTGAATTCCTCTATCTTAATATATTATAATCCCCAAACACAGTAATATTATGTAACTAGATGATCTCTACAGGGCAATACTTTACGATCTACATTCTCCAGGGAAAGGATCAGGGAACTATTATCAATAAATGCCATAAATCCCTGAAAGAGAAGTTAGGAATTTCAAATAAATCACATAAGCTTCTTTCCACTTACATTAACTCTTAAAGTATTTTAATGCTTGTTGACTCTTAACCTGCATATCTCTATTCCTTCCAAGTAAAACATAAAATGATTTTTTCCCCAAAAAATCAAATGCTAAAATTTGTTTCTCTGGGTACACAGCAAATACAGAAAAATCTTGTAGACATTCAACTGAATGCTTTAGGTTTTTCTAGGACATTTCAGAGTCCAAAATTAAGTAAAACGATCTAATAGAGGGATGCCTGGGTGGCTCAGTCAGTTAAGTGCCCACCTCTTGATTTCGGCTCAGGTCATGATATTGAGGTCCTGAGACTGAGCCCAGTGTTGGGCTCTGTGCTCAGTGCAGAGTCTGCTTGTCCCTCTCCCCCGGCCTTTCCCCTACTTGCGCGAGCGCTCTCTCTCTCAAAGAAATAAATATTTTTTTAAAAAGCTAATAGAACTATCATAAACAAATATTAGATACCTACAAAAAATTGAAAGATTAAGGCAAAAGTCAAGCCAATTAGAAGTCATATATTTATGGTCATGAATAATAGGTTATTCATTAATTTCCCAGTGTTCAATATTTTTACAAACGTCATTAGAACTATAATACGGTTATCTCAGTATTTTACTGGAACTCTAACAAGTGAAAACAACCAACCTAATGAAAATTTTTATGGAATATACCCAATGGAAATAGCGTCAATATAGTTTATAATTTTTTAGAAGTGTTTTGATAAGTTTACTATATACAAATTCATCACAGAATTACCAGGTAAGTTTCTTTTTAATAATATTATAGGAATCACAGTAATTATAAAATCACAGATATTTTTCCTTAATAACGTTTAGAATTAAAGCACCAATTTCAGTTCCATGGTAGACCAATCTTACCCAATAAACAAAACAGTATCATTAAAATATATTTTAAATAGTGCACTGATTTTGAAATGTATATAAAAATTTTAGGGAGAGCTAATATAAACATTTGACTAGTTGTTCAGCAAATGTATCCATGTGTCTTTTTTCAGAATAAACTTGATCCATACAAAGGTAAAAATTTTTTACATAAAATATTTTATTACAATATTTGTATTTAATATTTTGTACATATGTCAGTATTCCATGCATTATAATTCTGTATAAAGGTAGGAAATGCTTTCTGTTTTGTTTCCTGTGTCTTTCCAGATGATGTCCAGTATCTTGTAGACATTTCTGGCTGCCTAAAGGGTACATTGAGTACTTAGCTTTAGGAAACAGTCTATAAATGAGCTTCAGTTCCCAGAGCTATTACTGGCTCAGAACTCATTATTCCACAAGTACAATTTAATTACATTTTACTTAACATTTGCACAAACAAAGTTAGATGTCATTTTCTCTGTTTCTAGAGAATATATAATAGATACAAACACACGGAGTTGCGGACACATTTTTTTTTCCTTATTCTAAAAAATTTTAAGTACAAAACTTCACTAGTATACCTGGAAACTAAAACAAAACAAAACAAAACAAAACAAAAAGACTGTGTCCTAGCAAGGCAGAGAAACCTAAACTTAACTGGGATATAAATATTAAATAAAATGGTTTTGTGCTATAACAGATACCTAGACAATGAGTTTTACACTGATACTGACTTTAAGACGCATGGTATAGGTTACAGAGGTCTGTGATGACATCCCAGCACTGCAAATCTGTGACTTTCCTTAGGTCACTAAGCCTCTTTGGGTATCAGTTTCCTCTTCTAAAACATGAAAAACTTCATTTCTAAGGCCCTCTCAATCCTAGGATTCCATGAAACATAGCCACATTCCTGTTTCTCCTGTACTTTCAGTAACAAATGGCCAAGATCCAAGATGGATTCAGTTTTCAAAGATATCAAATATGGAATCTGTACACAACATATTTTTGGTAGAGCAACTGATAACTCCCTTTAGATCTAACAAAGAATTGTTTTCTGTCCTTTCAAAGGTTGATTCCTAGCTAGAATCTTGGCCTGGAAGATCTGTTAAAGAAATATATAAATTAAATATTTTTCATATCCTAATAATTCTCCCCTCCACATGGAAAATTTGGAATTTCAAATCTTTTTTGTTTTTTTTTACTGGCAAAACTTATTATGTATTCAATGGATATATCAAACAACAATAACCTTTAAGAAACTAATCACTACAGTAACTAAAAGATTGCTAATGATGTTAGCTTAGCATACTCCTTTCACAGAGCTTATTTTCTCACTTCCCATTATTACTCTTTTCAGAAAGGACTGACCAATGATTTGCTAGTACTGGTGATCTCTAAGGCTAATATGACATTTCCTTTTTTTAAAAAAAAATAGGCTCATATCATCCTTAGACACAAAAATGGTCAGCTTCCTATTAGTAGGACCACAGAATTCCCAGGGCAAGGAAGCCTTGGGGACAAGGCTTTAAAGACTGATACAGTGACTCATGTGATGACACTGGGGGCAAAAGCAGAGGTTGCAATTCACAGGTTTACCATCTGTTGGTCTCTCTGCCCCTTTGCAAAATGGCAAGTCACTATGAAAGCCACCAAGCAAAAACTGAATAACCATTAGGGTAATTCGAGTTTGCCTTTATTAACTCTACTTCTTGAAATGGAAATTCCAATAGCCTCATGAGAGTTCCACCATGTCTTCAATAGGTCTATCTGAAACCAAAGAAGACAACAGCTATATTCATGCAGGAAATGCTTCATGAATATGACCCAAAAGATACCTAAGGTTCTTGAGTCCAATCAAAAGCTTCTATTTTATATCAAAAAACATATACATACAAAAAAACCATATATATATATAATTGTGGCTTCTACTAATTATCTTGGAAATCTACCAAAATATGTAAAATTCAAATGGCAATCATAGAATAATTAAGGGAATAATTAAGAATCAGAATTAAGAAAAATCTGAAATCAAGTATGTTCATCAATATCCACTAAAATAATAGTCAAAATGCCATAGAACAAAAGTATGTGGATTACAAAGATACAAAAGTAGGGATCCGAAGGGGTACATGCACCCCGATGTTTATAGCAGCAATGTCCACAATAGCCAAACTGTAGAAAGAGCCAAGATGTCCATC